GCCCTGTGAGATCAGAGCAGAAGGGTGGTAGAGTGGGAGAGAGGGGGCTGCTGTCGTCGTCATGCGACGTTATTGATTTAAATGTCATAGACACCCAAAAGTAGAACACAGAGTGAGAGAAAGAGAAAAGCGACACGGAGAAAGAGACACATCGAAACACGTCAAGTGGCACATCCGAAAGATACTTTGAATGCTTTTTGAGATAGCCCGCAGCGGAAGCTAAAAGCCAAGAAAAACAAACACGATCCCTCCCAACACACACACACACACACACACACACACCTGTGCCCCGCCCCGCCCCGCCCGCTCTTGTCACCACCCGCAAAGGTGCGTCCGTGTGTGTTTGGGTCTTGTCTCACATTAATGTCTCTCTGCGTGTAGTTGTGTTTGTGTAATATGCCACACACGTAGACAACTATTAACTAAAACAGACAGACACACACATATTAGGCGCTACTGATGGCACGAGCCGCCACACTCTTTGGGGGCCATGGAGTGCTGATTGGGAGAGTGGGCGAGGGGGTACACAGTGCTCCCTTGTCATTTGTAACAGATGCGGGGGCCAGCCACACAATTGACTTCGCCAGTTACCCAGCTCTCTGCGCCCCTGCTGCCCTGCGCCACACCCACGACAAGTAATTGGAGAAACAGTCAGCGGGTATGGTTGCCGGCTGTCACCCGAATAAAAAAAAAACCGCCAAATGTTGAACGTTCAAGGGTCCCCGCATCTGATCTGATCTCTCTCTCATTCCAGTATCGCTCCCTCTTGTCTCTTCCCTTTTTTTTTTGTGTCGTAATTGCGGCCACAGATAAGCGCTTTATTACCGATTCACTGGCTTTTATCGCATTTTAATAACTCACGATACAAAAATGCGCCAAAATACGAGGGAGGCCTCAAAAACACAGACGACACGACCAGACCACGTTGCCGCCGTTACGTTACGTTACGTTAAGTCACGCGCTACGTTTGCGTTGCGTTGCGTTGCTTTTACCGGAAACTGTCGAACTGCCGCGTCCGCCAGCCAATGCACAACTGAAATGGAAACCGAAAAGCAGCAGCAGTGGCAGTGGCAGCCGTGGCAAAATTGTCAGCAGCAACACCAAAGAACGCAGAGCCAGAAGGCAGAATTGCCGCTGCTTTCAATGGCCAAAACGAACGAACCAAACCAGCGCTAACGAAGTTCGTTAGGCAGCAAACGAAGCCGGAGCCGAAGCCAAAGGACGAAGGGAAACAATGAAATAACGAAGGCAAAACCGAAGCAATGCAGCTGTCGTGTGTGGGTGGTGGGTGTCTTGTCGTGCCTTTTGCACGACTTGCATGCCCACCATACGGAAGTCTGCATGCTTGTGCCCCCCCCTCCCCACCCACTAAAATGTAAGGACAAGTAATGCACGCGGCGTGCCTCTGCCTAAAGTGTGTGCGTGAGGAGTAGAATGCAACTGAATATCTCTCGGCTATTATTATCAGGCCCATAACGATATCAGAATTACAATGTACACACACACATACATATTTATATTTAAGATGCTTTTGCTGCTAAAGCTCTCAAAATTGAAATTTAATTAATTCCTAATTGGATTTTAGTCAATAGTCTCTCCAATTTCATTGCATATCCTTGAGAGTTTCCTCTCTTTTGTTTTGGGGCTATACCCTTGACTTTTGGCGACACAACTTGAGGCCTTCGAACCCCACTGTGCACTGTGCACTGTGCACTGTGCCATGGCATCGCATCGCATTGCCATGGTTTGACTTGTCATTCGGCTGCGCAAATTAGCTGCCATAATACTTCATCCATCCATCCATCCCCTTTCACGCCCAAGCCGGGGTTAGCCTGTCTTTTTTTCTCTCATTATGCGTGGGGAAGTGGGTGTGTTAGCTAGTTTCGGCCAAGTCCTGTCCTGTATGTGTGCGTGGGTGCGTGTGCAGCAAATCATTGCCGACTTTTGTGCGCAAATATTTACGACAACTGGCAGCTGCTGCTCCTGCTGGTGGTTGCTGCTGCTCAGCGTCCTCCCCCATCCAATGAGTGGACCAAGAGACAAAAGCACACAACAAAAACTTCTAACAACGACAACAACCTGTCACGCCAGCTGAGGTACGGGCATGGTTACGGCTACGGGCACGGGCACGGGCACGGGCACGGGCGCAGGCATTCATACATGGAGGGCGCCTCCTAACAATGTGTACCCTCCTGCAGAGAGAGGAGACAATGTCACAGGCAGCAAGCAGCGGGCAGGTCAGCAGGAGCTCCACATGAGCTGACACTGGCAGTTAAACAGAGGACCACGGACAACGGCCCACGGGCTCCTCCGTAATGGCCTCTAAACAAAAGGCGTGTTTGGTTTTTTTTTTTCGGCCAAGAGCGTGCAAGTACGTGTTTTTGCTGGTGTGAGTGTGTGTGTGTGTGTGTGTGTTGGGAACATTTGTCTTTTTGCAAATTAATTTATAAAAGCAATTGACATTGAGCCGAAATGTAAATATGCCACTGAGAATGGCAATGGCATATGCTGCTCCTACTCCGCCACTACGGCTCTACCTCTGTCCCCTGTCTTGCATTAAAAATTCAAGTCCCACTCGGAGTCGCATCTGTGTGCGTGATGCTCCCTGGGTGGGTTCACCCTTCTCACTTTATCTCTGTGTGTATGTTTGTCTTTTGCCCCTGGCCCCCATGGCCTGGCGTCGCCTGGCATTTAACTGTACGAGTATGTCCCTCCAGCAGCAACAGCAGCAGCAACAAAATGTTGAGAAATGCCAAGCTGACGTTGCACTTAAGAAAATGGGCCAACACAAATATTGCTGAAGGTTGGGATATCCTGCGGCTGTTCGTCCCTCGTCTACGGAGTAAGCCACGCCATTTCCAATGCATGCATTGGATGTACATACATACATACATATGTATGTACATGGGTACATTCGTCTAGTAATTGGCCATATACGATATGAGCCGCCCCGCAGCAGTAGACAACGTTTACCATATTGGCCAAAAGGGAGATGTATGTTGGCTTCAATTCAATAATTGATTAAATTGTGTAATTGTGGGGAAATGGATGGAAATGGATGGAAATGGAGTAATGGTTAGATCATGAAGATGCATCTATCAAAGGTGTTGCCACTGAATTAAGCTTCTGCTGCGGAGAGATAGGGAGTTTCTAGCTCAGAGCTGTCCACTGTAAATTGATAATTACTATAATTGAATAAAGAATTCCCCCAAAATGGATACTCTGCTCTGGAAAGAGAAGCAATTACCCCCGTAGTCTCTGCTGTGGTATGTTTTCCGCAGATATACAAAAGACAGAAAGAGACAGAAAGAGACACACACACACACACTTTCTGCCCAACAAGATTTATCCACAAATTTTGATAATCTACCAAAGAAAACATCCAGCACCCCCTTCAAAAAAAGGTCAATTCCACCCCCCCACAAATATTTTCAAAGAGAGAGAAAGAAAAAGGAATTCTTAATTCCATTCCGCTTTAAACTTTCCTAAACGGTTATTAACTTTACAATGTGTTTGCCTTCCTCCCGCCTCCTGCCTCCTGCTTCTGTGTCGTGTGTCGTGTGTCCTGTCCCGCCGCAGAAAGTAATGGTTAGAAGAGAGCAACTTTATTACTGAAATACAGTCATAGCCATTCGTATGTTTACACCACAAAAATGTTATGGCACAGATGGTGGAAGGGTGCGGGGCGTTCGAGGCATGCTACAAAGTGGCAAAAACAACAACGTTGCCGTTGACTTACAAACTGATTTGCAATTTTATAAAGAGCTTGGCTTGCACACAAAGGACATGAATGGTAAAGCAGGCTGGGAAGGGGAAGGGGAAGGGGGAGGGACAGTGGCATGCACCAAAAGCAACGACAAAACGAAACAAAAGCCAAACAAAACTTTTTTTGTTCAGGATATCCTCTGCTCATCATCGGCGGCCAAAACTGCTGACTGACTTGACTTGGCTGTGAAGTTTTTTGTTTTTTTTTTGGGGACAAGGCCTATTTTTGTCACTCGCTCTTCCTCTCTCTGTCTCTCTGTCTCCCTCGAACTGACTCTTTGGGTGACCTTTTTTGGCCAAGCAAAAACTGTAAAACTCATTTACATAACAATTACCGCTTGACATGGCGATGCTCTGACAAGCACTCGACTTCCTTTGGACCTTCTCCTTCGTCCACACCAAACCACTCCCAACCAAACACCAGCCCCTCCCCTGTCCGCTAACTGAAAGCAAAACTCCACTTTTGGGGCACTACTTTGAAGTCCCTACCCTCACCATCACCCTCACCGTACACTTAACACCCAACTATTGTTTGTCGTTGCTTTGGAGATCCCTCACATGTCCCTCCCCTTCAGTCTGTCAGTGTTCCCTCTCTTATTATTTCTGTCTGTCTCTATTCCATCTCTTTCTTTCTGTCTCTGTTCCCCGCCTTATTATTTCTCTCTGTCTGTCTGTCTCTATTCGCTCTCTTTCTTTCTGTCTCTGTTCGCTATCTTTCTCCTATCGTCTATTTCTTCTCTCTACTTCTCTTTGGTGACGCCACCTGCCGCCACTTGCGGGACTGACATTTTATTTAGATGGCTTTGCATTTCCAACTTTTTCACACTAACTCTCTTCCCCGCTCTCTCCCTCTTAGTCTCTCTTTCTCTCATTTTAACAAGCGCCAACTGCGTGCAACTACTCTTGCAACACTGGCCCCACCAGTAGACCCTATTCCGCTCCCCCACGGTAGCCCCATACCATCCCATGGCCCACCACTTTACTTTCATTATGTGTCCGTTGCATTGGGGTAGCTTATTCGCACATATTCTCCCCTCGACTCGTACTCCTGGACTCGAATGTTGGCAATGCTGTTCCGGTAGATTATGTGACAGTTCAGATGGGATTCAGAGGTGGATATGGCTTGTAGGTCTGCACAGATATATGTACATGGGGCTCGAGTAGGTCTGTTTGTGTGTCTCTTGATTCTTCCTTAATCTACGAGAAGGATGGCACTGATTAGCCAAAGCACTTACAATTTCATCCAAAGTGTTCGTCGGCTCCTTCATACCATGACGTTAGAGACTCTCATCCAATCTGTGGAGAAAGAAGGCAAACAAATGTAGAGAGAAGGCGGCAATCAGCAAACAGAACAAACAAATAATCATTAGATATAGATATGCAGCAGAGGCAGCAGGTGCACAGCCCTTCCACCTCCACCATCTGTGTGTGTGTGTGTGTGTTTAGCAAAGAAAAAATTATAATATTGTATTTTCAACAATTTTTTGTATGGCTTCCTTCTGGATTTGGTTTATTCCCTTTAGATACCCTTTCAAGTGTAGAGGTAGTATAATCCATATTCTCTATACGCCATCTATTCTATATTTAGCTTTATTTCTGCATTTACCAATATTCAGGAAGTTTTAATCCTATTATATCTTTTCTTAACAGAAAGCCTTTCAATGTCTTCCTACCACATATCCAATATTGCTATAAGAATGAGTTTCAATTTAGTATAATATATTCTTTAAGCATAGTGTATGACAATAGTCGCTCCTCGGTGGAATCATTCTATAGAATTGGACCCAAAGGAAGTGTGGCGATGCTTGTGGTCGGAACTGTGTCTCTCTCTCCGTCTCTTACTGTGTCTGTGTGTGTGAGTGTGGGGCTGCTAACAATGCTAACCCACTGGGGTCCCCCTGTCCCCAGCCTCTCCACCTCCTTACACACACAACAGAAGACTCCACATGTGTGTGTCACATACAAAAGGCAGCCTTATCAATTTCAAGCATTTTTGCCGTAAAAATATTAACAAAATAAACGAAAATTATTTGCCCTTACTTTAGGAAATGAAATGAGAAATTCTGGGAGACATTTTCAATGGTCCCCTTATTTTGTGGATACCCCCTCTATGGGGGGTAGCTATCCCCTAAACGGAGGCAGAAATACACTCTTTTTATTTGACTTATTTAGTTCAACAAAGAGAGAGGGCGAGAGAGAGCCGAGGAGTTCATTATTATTAAAATGAGTCCACACACACAGTGGGAACAGTGGCAGTGGCAGGCAGTATCTTTTGCCAGTCCCTATATCATTTGCATTTTCCACCCTGCCACCCACTTCCTAGACATTTGGTGTGCTGCTCTTCTGCTTTTTTAAGTTGATTGCCACATAAATTTCATGTAATCTAATTAAATTTGAATTGTCGTCGTCTTCGACGTTGTTTTAGCTCCCCGCCCACTCTGCCAATACCGCCCCCTCTCTGTCACTCCCCAGTGGAGTGTGGAATCCGATCCGTAGCCTGATATAGTCGCAACTTTGAAACGACGATAAGCTAATCAAATTAATTCAACTTAGAAAAACTTGTGGCAAACGAATTTGCAACAAATTAATGTTATTTCATGGCTGCTTAAACCTGACACTGCGGTGGCATCCACATTCCCCTCCACTCCATCCCCCTTGTGGCAAAACTCACTTCAAAGTAATTCATTTCTGATTGGAAGTTTCCTGTCAGCAATTTTACTTTTTTCCTCCCCACCGCTCCTTCGCTCACTCACTCGCTGGCCTTTCACTTCTCGTTTTTCACTTTCCACTTTTTATGCATGTGTGTGTGTGTGTGTGTGTGTGGAAAAACTTTTCAGCCTGGCTTAAAGTATGGCCCAGCCCCCCTGGTGAGGCGTTTTTGGATATGCGTGGAACAAGTTATTCGGGATATTGCATGCCCCCTGCTCTATCCAAACCAATAAACTCGGAAAATTCACTGCTGCCAGTCGGGCGGGGGAGGAAGGGGATGCATTTTTTCTAGCTTGTTGATCGAAATCCCAGGAGGGAGCTCTTGAAAGTCAAGCAGCAAACAGATCGCAATCCCCATAGCCCTTTTGTGTTGTTATCCTGATATTATTACCCGCATTTTGTTGCTCCTTGGAGTATCCTTTTTCTTGATGATTTGTAAACTTTGTCGTAAACCAAAGCCGACATCGCCTGGGATGCAATCTAATCTCTCTTTCTTTCTCCAAAAGTTAAACTTCTGTCTATTGGTTAAAGGCATTTGATTGATTTTTTGGTCTCCATTCAGCGGCACTGAGTGGGTGGGTGGTTGCCACACTGCAGGTGTAGAGGGAAGTGGCAGCGGCTTTCCATTCACTTGGCAATTTACTCGAATGCAGTTTGCATGTTTGATGACAGCTCCAAACGGTTCGGCATCCCACTTGTATCCCTCTGTATCGCTGCCTTCTCTTCCATCGAATGCCACAATATAGCCAAAAAAAAACACACTTTTTTTTGGCATCACACCTTACCTCCTCCACCTCCCCTCTCACTCCCTCTGACACCTTCGTGCTGCTGCTCGACTTGCCACTAACAGCGCCATAAACAGAACGTGGCCGTGCCAAACGTGTCAAATGCACAAAAATCCAAATTCTCACACAACTTTCATGCAAAATGGAAATGCATATAAAAATATATATCTACATAGATATACATACATACATGCTCGTATATTTTCATGTTTAAAAAGCAAATTGCCACCAATATTGCCTTCAATAGAAAGCAACACCCACAATCCATTTGATCAGGGAACATGCCACAGGAACGAATACTTTAAAGTGTGTTTAATTCAGAGTTAATGCATCAAAATATATTTTAGCAATTAAGCATCTAATTTGCACAGACCAAAAGTCAAATACACAATAATTATGAATAATTATGGAGACTACCACACAAAAAATCTGCGCAAATATTTATCATAATAATTCCAATGGCAATATTCGATGTGACATTGTTGCGCAGGCCACCCAAATGCGAGAGACAGATGCAACAGATTTCAATGGAATAATTGGTTTGATACAAAACAGTACGCGTCCGTAGTTGCCTGATGATCTACTTGTCCTTCCATTGGGATGTACTCGCTGATATATGTATATGTATATGTATATCGTATGTGCATCGCCATATTTACTCCACATGCAACAGCACGGATGTGTGGACGGGGTGTGGTGAGATGAAAGGCTTTTCGTAAGGGTGAAAATCAATGGAACATACTCATTAAATTTGTTTTAATTATTTGTCGCAGGATTGGGGAATACGCTTCTATAAACAATTCCATCCGATTGGATGTGGGATATGGGATATGTGGAAATCTACCGCGTTGGGGTGCTTATTATTCGTGCTTTTTTGTTGGTTTTGTGGGTTTCCATATTCAGATTTAGTTTCGTTTTACCATTGCTGTGTGCGACTTTTACACTTATTTGCGACACTCCAAGCGTGTGGCGGGGGAGGAATCGGAGTCACAGCGTATTAAATTTCCACTTCCGTTGCATCGTATTACGTTTTTGCAAATATAAATTAATCAAAAATGTGCACAACAAATGCAATTCTAATGCAAATTAATGTTACACTTCCAACTGTGTGGAAAACTTAATTGGAAAATGTTTTCTCCGCCGTATGGACGGCTGTCACTATTCTTATTGCTCAATTATTGTCGTTACGCTGTTTTGTGTGGGTTGGGATATTTATGCCAAAATGCCAGAAGGGTTTGTCCCCACACCACCGCACCAAAGTTTTCGCCATAGTCGATGGAAAACACATGCACACGCATTGCTTTGGGGGGGCGTGAAAATAACACCTGCAGGCAACAAACTGATTACCATTGTTGTGACTATGCTTGGACGAGCCTCCGTACAAAAGCATCTTCGAGCTAGAAGAGGCTCCAACTATCCTATCGAAGAGGGTTCCATCCTCGCCCCGTCTACGAAATTGATGTCTTATCTCACGGAAGCAGCACCACTCAGCACACTGGCTTCATTTTCGATCAGCTAATTGCACGCTTGGACAGCTATAAATGCATCAACCATTGTATGGTCACACTCTTGGAGTCCATGCCTCCTTCATCCAATGAGAACGCAGCAGGAACGCATAGGCCCTGTCGTTAACTAAAGGATATCGGCAAGGGTTGCAACCATCCGCTGCGCAGCGATGGATGTGCTACCATCTTTTTGGGCACGACGTTTCCTTCGCTCATATTAATTAAACATTTTGTTATCGCAGGGAAGCAGCCGCCATGCAGGCCATTCAGAACCAGAAATACCTTAGACCTGAAGCTGCACTTTGGCCACATTTTCGATCAGCTTATTGCACGCTTGGACAACTATAAATGCATTATCCACTGTATGGTCATAGCCTTTGTGCCTACGCCTCCTTCATCTAATAGTAACAAAAGGATGTGTGCAGGAGTTTCACCCATCCGCTGCCCAACGATTTAGTATAAATACAGGCCGTCACCTGATGACAGGGCATCAGTTTCAAATTAGACTCCGAGATTTCAAGACGTGCCACAGGCAAGTGCCAGTGCCATAGCTCAGGAACAAATAAAATCAGTATCTGCACACTAGCAAATTAATCAAAATACATAATAATAAAAAATAACCAGTGGAAAGCCCATAGCTAGAACCCAGGCGCTTTTATACTGCTCCCATGCTACTGGCTAATTTTTATCTATGCCGTTATATTGGTGGCAGTATAGACGCTTCTGGGGCCAAACATCGTTTCCCTTTGTCTGCTTCTAGTGTAGAGAGAGAAGAGAGAGGCTCCTAAACTCTCCTGGCAAGTGTCTCCTTATATACAACCATAATTTGTATATAAATATATAATAATAAAAAGAGTGAGCAATAAAACATTTAATCCAGTGTTACCATTAACCAAGTGTCGCGTCATTATAATGGAATTATGTGGAAAACCCATAGCTAGAACCCAGGCGCTTTTATACTGCTCCCGTCGGCCCGCCCCCCCCCCCGGCTACCCTGGTGGCAGTATAGCGCTTCTGGGGCCAAACTCGTTCCCTTTGTCTGCTTCTAGGGGGGGGCCCCCCCCCCCCCGCCTCGCCCTTACCCTCCCAGGCTCGCCCCACTGCTCCCTGGTGGCCGCCGGGCCACCGCCGCCCGGGGGGGGCCCCCCCCCCCCAATAAAAAAGCCCCCCCCCCCTGGCTACTGGTGGCGTAGACGCCGGGCCAAACTCGTCCCGTCCGGGGGGAGAGAGGCTCCTAAACTCTCCTGGCAAGTGTCTCCTTATATACAACCATAATTTGTATATAAATATATAATAA